CGTGATTACAGTGTCCCTTGTTAAGATCTTGCGAACTAGTGAAATTTTAAATGAGTACAGCAGCCGTTATGTGTGTGCAGCTTCACCAGCTTTATTAATTATAAAAAAGCACAGACTGTGTTTGCTTGTGCCGAGTCTTTGTGGAGCCATAATTCAACGCCAAAATGAACAAACCAAAAATAACTGCACTTCCAAATCTGCATTACCGCTCCATCCATTTTGAACTATATAAGTGGGTCCATCTTGTACCAGAAGCACACAGAGACAAAAACCTGCTTTGTGCCACGTGAAGCTGACGAGGTCCATAACCATCTGGACCAAAGTGGTGTGGGCGTGATGAAGGACTGGGGGAAACCAATAACTCTGCAGCACTTGCTAAGAATAATGTGACTTAAAATTGTTCACCACTGCCAAAACAGAGACATCAAGGTCATGACATGTTACTTTGAAAATTATCTGTTAGGAATTAGTGCATTTAAGTGCTAGTGTTTCAATATGGGAGCGTCTTTGTGCCCCTGCTTGTCCATGTGTGATTGTTAAGTGGCAGCCAGGCTTTTGTATGGGTCTGAAGGGTGGGTCAGTGGGGTGCCCATAGACATGTTCCGGTCTGCTCAGACTCTGTCTACTGTTAAACCACACAGATGTTCTGGACCTATTGTGGCTCTACAGGGACCCAACAGAGTCATTTCACGCCTGAAGGACGCCCAAAGAGGAAGTCAGAATGGGTGCACCACTGTGACATCAGCATAGACCTCTTTGAATGAAAACAGACAAGGCAACTGTGTAACAAATTAGCTTCAACAACATACATTCACAGCAAGAATGGAAAATTTAGCGGCTGTTTTAGCTGCAGATAAACAAGACAAAATCACTCTGTGTGTTTTCTCGACAAAGTCCCTTTTGACTGAAAAAGCTTGTATCACACAGTACTTTGTTCACCATGTTCACCTTGCTGTTGCTTTCATGTTGTTATTCTGAACTATTTGTTGGGTTGCAGCTTATACTTTTTTGTCTTCGCAACACTTGTCTATAGCACGTTTCAAATGGCTAATGGTAGCCGATCAAGAGCAGCGTTCCTGCACCTTCAATTAATGAGTAATCAAGTGTGATTGGCAGACTGTTGTCCACTGGTTTATTTAGCCATGTGCTGTAACCTGGCACTGATAGCCAGTTATTTGATCAGTCATGAGAAAATAATGACATCCCACGGCTGTTTACACCTTTAGCACATCTCCGTTGTCTTCTCACGTCAGTGATGCGTTCATTGTGCGTGCAAATAGTCGCGTTTTCAGCATCTAGCTAGCTCTACTGAAGATGAGCAAGCATGAATGGAGTAAGGTTTTTTTTTAAGTGGCAGGTCATTTCAAGTGCAACTTTTCTAATAGCTCAACAAACCAACCAGTCACACTAATTGTTTCTCTGCAGTTTGTCACAATATGTACATGTGAGCTAAATGTAAGTTTTCTGTATTTCCCGGAGAAAGAAAAGTATGTTTAATGCACAGATTTTATAAACTGGAAAAGAAAAGCTTATGATTAATGTCCCATCTCGTTTTAAAGTTGTTAATTTGATATGGTATCTACATATGATGTGTTACATAGTTATGGTTTTTATAAGTATAAGTATACTCATTTTCTGTTACTCAAATTTGCAATGAAAATGTACCAGACGGTTTTGTGCAGGTTGTCACATCTCATCTTGGCCAATCAGAAGCCTACAGACAATCAAGGAGTTCACAGTCTGACATCAACAAAGGAGGTTAAGTTGCACAGCTTTGACAGTTTCTTAAAATTGTCAGGGAACTTTTCAGAAGCTCCATTTTCAGTGATCTGAAAAGCCATTTACGAGAGGACAAAAGACAAAAACACCCAGAAAAGCTATGTTCACAAGTATACTTGTGTAGGTGTGTTCAGCTTGTATTAAGGCTTATGACTTTGCTTTGTGAGGGGTGTGGCCTCTTTGAGATGTTTTCCAACCAGTCTCAGCTTCTAGGCTTCACTTCACCTGGTTGACATCACTGAACTGGATCACTTGACCCTGTTTGTGAATATGATCACTTTGATTCCAAAAGAAAGGCAAATGCTGAGCCTAATCTTAAGGCTTTAAAATAGAATTCAACAGACCAATGGCTGACGTCACAGCAGCGTGCATCTTTTAGGGTTTCGAGCCTGGC